TTTGCAATGACTATTAATTAATCACAGGGACAGACAATCCATAATGTAGGTATATACTAACCCGAAGATGTATTTACACATGGATGACTATATGTTGCATTGTCAAGAGAAACTTCTATTAAAAATAAAAAAAAACTTCATCGAGCTAGCAATAATTGAGAACAAAAATGATTCCTACGTAAAAAATATTGTTTACAATAAAGTTTTTACCTAGAAGAAATTATTGGTTATTTGTTCTAATTTTTTTTTTTATAAAATCTTCCTTTCATATAAGAAATGCGATACCATGTCGTTGGTATTGTTTTTCGAATTTGTGACATAGATAGCATTATGATTAGAATTATAATCTTGGAAAATACAAATTGCGTCATGCTTACTACCGTTGTGTTATAGCGGATGCCTGGAACCTTAAAAAATATGGATGCATATATATCAAATTTCAGCCAATTACGACGATACCAGAGAAATGTCTCTTTCTTATGCAAACTATACCACATGACATTCATATGGTCATTCAAGAACGATCCTGATAAGCACTTCCTGAAATTAATATTCCTTGATGAATGGGCATCTAAACTTAGCTCAAATTAGTCCATATATATATAATAGTTATTTCATATTTCCTTAACATTTACATGGTTGGGAGATTAGTGGTACAATTTTTTAAGGAAGATATCCAACTATTTCTCTCAAAGCTTAAAGATGGATGGATCTATAAAATCTTTAATGCTAGAATTATTATCGCACTTGTAAAACATAGATTGATTCCAAGTGAGCTCGTGATTGGAATACATACAAAAACGACAATATCTGAGGTGGAAACCACAATGAAGTTTTTTATAGAAAAGAATTACAATTTTGTGGTTTTCAATTCTCTTTCTGAGCACATGAATCAAGTGAAAGCACTAGGTAAAACTATGCATATTTAAATTGCTTGTCTAACATTCTTCAGGCATATCTTCCTCAAATATTTCAAATTTGAATGTCTCTTCTATTATATAGTAGCCTTCATTGCATCTTTGCAAATAAATATGTCTAATATTTTGTGTTCTTATCAATTACAAAGACACCGTCGGCATTATCAGTGATATCGGCGAAGTTATCGCCACAACAAATTTAATTTTGAGAAATATATGGATCGTGAATGAAACGTACTCAGTATTTCAAATAGGTATTTCACATGAATAACAACATTCTATTTCGTACTTTCTTTCTTAAGATTTTGTTTCATTCATTTCGCAGAAACCAAAATCTCTTGGTGACCTTATGGGAGAGCATGCCAAAAAGGATTTTGGCGTTCCCTGATTCAAAAACCAATCATCTTCGCTTATATGAACTTCCATAACTTGAAGGAAGGTAAATTACTTGAAATCTCATCTATCTATTAAAAAGCATATGTTAACACCCTCTCATATTGCATATCTAACCTATCAGATATTTAGATAAGCTCCACAAAACTAACAAAGATAATTATATCTTCGAAGAGATCCAATATTTCGGTCTTTGTCCTCTCTGTATGTTGTAGATGCATTTCACATTATTAATCTATGTGCAACTACTTCTCTCGTATCGTTCACTCTTTAAAACACATTAATTTTATATATATATATATATATGGAAACGTCCTCCGAATGTCGATAGGCAAAAAGTAACAGTAATGTCGCCACACTACCATCGACCATCCGTTCAAATTAAATCGAATATTTCATCTGCGAGCAGTTCAGATCTACGAACAAAACCCAGCGCGCGAAAGCTCAAAAGCTTCAAACCTTCCAATATTTCACCTGCTACCCTCCCCTGCTCTGCTAACATCCCTTCTCTCTCGCTCGCCCTCTCTACTACTCTGCGAAGGTCCCTTCTCTCCTGTTGCCCTCTCTACTGCTCCGCGAAGGTCCTCTCACTCTCTTTGTGCTGCTGCCCACATTGTCTCTACGAACTTCTCAAACACTTTAAAGAGAAGAAAGCTTCTTCATGGAGGCTTTAGTGAAGAGAGGGAAAGCCAAATCGCAAGGAGGAGGATGTAACAAAATGCGTGCCACCTCTTAGCTATTAAAGACCTCCCAGTCAATCATGTCTTTCCTGTGGTAAGTTAGAAGTCTTTTTTTTTCTTTTTTTATTATTTCATTAGTTCTATTCATGCAAAACAATTTCAAGGGAATATCGGTTTTTGTTCTGTTGGTTTTATTGTGTATGTGATGAATATTCAGAGAATTATGATGTGGGTTTTTGTTTTTGCTCTGAATCCGTATGTGTCGTGAACTTGCAGGAGATTGGGAAATTTAATAATTGAGTTTCTTTTAGCAGTTCTTCTTTGTTTTTCCAAACTAGGCTTTCTTTCTCATTTTTTTATGGCCTCATAGAGTGTTCTAGATGTTACCAAATACTATTCCACGGGTTTGATTTAGAAACAATTAATTTGGAATCTCATGATTTAAATAACCATTTTTTATATGAAAATGGAGGGTAGTTACATTATTACAGTGGTATTTGGAAGGATTAATGGATAACATGATTTATTTTGGGTGAATCTGTTTTTTCATTTCTCTCATCTTTTGCTGGTCTTTTGATTGGTAATGCAATGAATACAACTGAATCTATAACTTGAAGAAGTTGCACTGAATACAACTGAATGCCCGAAAAGAAAAAATAATTCCTGACTTTCAATTGAAATTTTAATACAATTATTTGGTTTTATGTTATGCTTCTATTCTCTATTTCAAAATGCAACTTTTTCTTTTAGTTTTTATATAAATATGGGTTCAGTATTCATTTCCCTGTTTTGTGATTTTTTTTGTTGGGAATTTGAATTTGACAAATGGAATTTTTGGTCATATTCATTTAATTTATTCTGTCAACTCCACGTATTTTATTTGTTCTCTTTTGGGGAAGTCGGTTCATGTCCAATTGGCTAGTGAGACTAAAAGAAGTGATTTGGGCATTTTTCATCAAAATGCGGGGAGGGGTTCTTGAGTGTTTTCAGCTGATAGAGAGCTGAAATGTTAATGCAGCTGATGGCATGTATATGATTGTTAGCTACTCACCAGTTTTAGCAGTAATGGCCATAATTGAACCAAGATACGAACTTGATTTTCTCCTCTGTTTTATGACAATGGTGAAGTTTCTTGCATTTGAATCTATGATTTGGATGTAGTTTAGCCAAGAACCTGAAGAGATTTTTTAGTGGCCCTTTGATTTTTTGTTTAACTTAAATTCTTAATAGACTGAAATCTAATTTTAGCTTCAGCTCTGGGTTCCGGAGTTGAAGTTTGAAATGAAATCTTGGGGTTTTATGTTGCTTACATACTATTAACGGTGAAAATAAGTTTATGCGAGATGAGCTTTTGTCTCAAGTATTGGAGGCTCTTCTTGTCATCCGGGGTCTTGTAGTACAAAAAACAAAATTGATAAGTGATTGTAATCATCTATTGAATCTATCTCTTGGACAGTGTTCTGCTTGAGAGTAGTGAAAACAAGTGTAATTTCATACGAGCCTGCATTTCTGGTTTGCAGATCCTTGGAGAAGAAAGAAAGGGACAAAAATCTCTGGTATGGGATAGATAAGCAGTAGTCTTTGTTTTCTCTAAGTTGCTTTAGTATTCATTATTGTGTTATTTTTACCAATTAACATTCGGTGTTATAGTGTAGTAGCAGGACATACACCATAGCATAGACTTCTTGAGGCATTCGGCTCACTATGAAAGTATTGTCCAATCCCATTAGCGGAGCCCCAGGAGAACAATGCGAATGATGATCTACTTGGGAACATTGGAGAGAGTAGCTCCCGATCGAAGGATCAGATCCTGACACAGCCCATTACTACACCAGAGCTAACAGAGGAGGTTGGATGGGTATACTATGCTTGTGTCATGGATGCCTCAACATCAACATCTCCTTCCTCTCCCCTCAAGATTACTAATTCAAAAAATGGGAATGAGTGTGGCGCTCAGGCTATAGTGGATGAAGCTTGCCATGATTTTCCATCTGATGAGGACGTAGTTGCAATAAATGGATAAGGAGATCCGTTACTTATAGATGCTGAGGCAACCCTAGCAAGTGGTGCAAGTATCGAACCGGCCATAGGATTGGAACTTACTAACAAAGATGAAGCTTATGATTATTACAATAAGTACACAAAATTGGTAGGGTTTGGTATAAGAAAGGGAAGGACCATATGGAAACATAGTGGAAGAATTAGTTGGAGTTTAGAATGTTGTAGGCAAGGTTTTCATAGTGCGATGTATGATGGGAGTGAAAATGCTCACCCCCACACAAAATGTGGATGTCAAGCAAAGATCCGCATTAAGAAGAATTGGAATAATAGATGGGTTATTGCGATGGTTGTAAAATAACATAATCACATTTTTACAACGCCCAATAAGACTAGATTCATTCATTCTCATCGAAAGATACCACACACAGTGAAAAAGGGTAATCGACACAATGGAGTCTTCTATGGCTAAGTCTAGGGTTATGATAGATTACCTTATTGAAGAGGCTGGTGGGGCAGAAAATGTCAATTCCATTGATAAAGACCTTGAAAATCACATAACTAGAGAAGGAAACAACTGACAGGGAAAGAGGGTAATGTTGTTATGAATTGGTTGCATACGAAGAATGAATTGACCCTAATTTATTTTATAGAGTTCGACTTGATGAGATGGGGAGGTTGTTTGGTGTTTTATGGGTTGTTTCAAAGTGTATATTGTCATACCAATTTTTTAATGACGTGGTAACCTTTGACACCACATACCAAACAAATGAATATAGTATGCCCTTTGGCCCAATCCTTGGAGTTAATCACCACCTTAACACAATTTTCCTCGGATGTGCTCTCATCTTCAATGAAACAACAGAACCTTCATTTGGTTATCTGAGAACTGGCTAAAAGCAATGGGAGGCCGCCAACCAGGTACAATTATCACTGATCCAGCTTTAGCGATAACTGTTGTAGTCAAGACAATTTTCCGAATACCAATCATCATTATTGCAAGTGGCATATCATGGGAAAGTTTAAAACACATGTAATCCATGTTGAGTGTGCACACCCATTATTCTTAGAGGTATTCAAGAAGTGTATTGCAGCCTACACAGTTGAGCAGTTTGAGGTTGATTGGTTAGCTATGATTCAGAAATATGATCTTCAAGAGGAAAGTTGGCGCAAGTGGTTATATGGTTGTCGCACTCAATGAGTTGATGCATACAGAGCTGATAGGTTCACAGCCGGCATGGAAACCATACAACGAAGTGAAGGGTTTAATCACCATTTAAAGGTGTACATCACTTCTCCTACAGGTTTCCAAATATTCTTGAATGCTAGTGAAAAGTTGCAAAACAAGACATTCGGCAAAGAAAAAGAAGAAGACAGTAAAGATCTTACATCTACACCTATTCTAAAGACAACCTTCCTTATCAAGGAGCATGTAGCAAAGACATACACTCAAAAATTATTTAGAATGTTTCAAGAAGAGGTGGTAAGGTCTTCAAATTGCCTTAGCAAATTAATAGAAGGCAATGATGAATTCCCCAAATATAAGGTGGAAGACATTGGCAGTGTGCCAATCCCTCTGACGGTTGCATTCATTGAATCAAGGAAGAATTGTACATGGACATGTCAGTTCTTTGAGCGTGTTGGGATCCCTTGTTCACGTATGCTTAAAGTGTTCAATATGAGGAATGCATTGAAGATCCCATCTATCACATATGCTTAAAGTGTTCAATATGAGGAATGTATTGAAGATCCCATCTAACTACATTTTGAGCCGTTGGACAATGGATGCAAAGAAGGGTGTCAAAGACAAATGTGGTGTTAGTAGTTAGACTATATCTAAATTTCTGAGTTTCATTGGACATCATGAGCTTTATGATCTTGTGAGAACAATTGTAGAGCCAGCATTAGAAAATGATGATCTATTTGAAAAAGTGAAGTTGGGTTTCTCCAAGTTAGTTGGGGAAATCAATGCAACAAGAGAGTCTTTGTCAAATACTCATGCACCATCAGCCCCCACTCATTGCAATACCACTGAAGATGAAGTATGTGGCAGTATTAGATCAGTTGATGCCTCCCCTCTTATACTCGATCCACCATATTCACGAGCAGTTGGATGACCAAGGACTAAAAGGATAAAACCTTCACGGGAGGAAGGGCCAAAAGCTTCTACGCAGAAAAAACAATCGCAGAAAGGGCCACCCAGTGGAAGGAAGTGTAAAGTTTGCAATAAGTGTGGACATGACAAATGTAACTGTCCCGCGAGGGCATGTGGGATGTAGAGCTACTGAGGACCTCGAGCCGAGTTAACTAATTTTTTGACTAATTTATGGAGAATGTAAAGGACTTGAGTAATTTTTTGATTTTTAGAGACATGTAAATACCCCTTTTTGTAGAAGTATTTGGGGGTTATGTGAATATTTAATATTCATGTAATTTTGTGGGCATGTAAAAGGGACCGCTTTATGGGGGCATGTAAATGACCTCTTTATGGGGCATCTAAAGTCTAAAGAACCTATTTGGTGACTTTTTGGTAACATATGTGTGACATTTATTTCTTTTCCACGTATTTCATTAACGTGTGAAATGTGAGCTTTACTTCGATAATCAAATGCATTTATATCCCCACAGTTCTCACTTTATTGTTTTTTATGTCGAGCGTTTGAAAAATTCTCACCTTTTACCACACCAGAGGGTGTGCAGAAAAAAGAACTTGAGAATTTCATTCACAAAAGATTATGTGTGTTTCATTGTAGCTGATGACCAGATCTCTCTCTCTCTCTCTCTCTCTCTCTCTCTCTCTCTCT